GCCGCGCCGCTTTGGCGGAAGCCCATGCTGTGCAGCCCAGCCTGGGTTTTGTCGTTAGTGACTATGTGTGTTCGCCTGAAACAGGGGAACCGCAAGGCAGGCCTCGGAAATGTGCCAGGGGAACAGGGTTCGTGTGCTTCCAGAAGGGTTAAATAGCCGTGGTCTGCAGTCGCTGCTAGAATCTTAAAGGCCAGGCTGGACGGGGCTTTGAGCAACCTGCTCTGGTGGAAGGTGCCCCTGCCTATGGCAGGGGAGTTGTAACTAGATGATCTTTCAGGGGGTGGAACTGGATAATATTTAAGGTTCCTTCCAACCCAAACTATTCTATGGTTCCGTTTTTAATAGCCTGCAGATCTGGTTTTGTAGTGTGCACTCTTTCGCTTGCTTTAATGGATTAATGACTTTTTTTAAAGTCAGTTATTAATAGAAGCATCAGGTTTGGGGCTCCTTGCTGCTGACAGCCCTTTAAGGGTTTTCTGTGTGCTGTCTCGGGGGCAGGAGCACCCCAATTTGAACTGTGGTGGTCCCTGAGACAAGGCCAAAGACAGGTAGATGTCACAGCCCATCCTGTGACAAAGTGGTCCAGAGCCACCATATTTCTCACACCTTGTTTGTTGATGAGCTTCCAAAGGCAAGTTGCAAGCAGCTTTGTAAGTGCTGGGTTAGTGTTCCTAGATTCAGCAGCACTTGTCATGTGTAAACAAATTGCAAAGTGCACACTTCTAGTAATGTTCTGAAGCACTTGGAATGAAGTAGTTTTAGAGAAGTTTATTTTTTTTGATGAGTGTGTCTAAACTGTCTCCAGTTACATGGTTTTCACACATCATTATACATTTTAAAGCATTTTTTTTCCCCCATGTAGCAAATGAAAACTTAAGATGTTTATGTGTCTTTCTGCTTCTGTGAAAGCTGGGCAACATTTGAGGTATTGTAAATGGTGTTTTGTAGCTTTTAGGTGTACAGCTTTTGAGATGGATGAAAGGAACAGCATCTAGCCAGTTTGTTAACTACAGCAAGTGTTGTGGATAAGTACTTCTATTGTTATGTTGGGTGATGGTATTTACATCACAAACAAGAATAGCATGTTTAGGAATAATTCTGTGGAGTACACAGAAGGAAGGATGCAAAACTTAGGTGGGTGAATATTAGTGTAAAGACTGAGAAGACCAAAGCTTGGAAACCTGTTTTATAATATTAATGATGTACCTTCAAAGAGTATGTCTCAGCAAATAAAGTCTTGTTCCACACTGACTATTAAGATCTTCACTAATAAGGACTTCTAAATCACTGATAAATAATGAAGAATCTACTGCACAAATTTTATTTACCTTTAAGATATTAAAGAAATTAAATTGTTGGTCTTTTCTACCCTGAACAGCTTTGAAACTAGTTTCTTTCAGAGGGTGTTCTGCAGGAAAAAAGGATATGATGTCCATTTGAGTTCCATCTTGTCCAGGACTGGTTTCCTCTCTGCTGCCAGCATGGCGACATCGCTTAGGACCGTGTGGCCCAGCTGCTTCTGGGTGCGTTCAGTAGCAGCCTGTAAGCAGGCCCCACTGCAGAGTAAGTAGTGATGAAACTGCAGAAGTCCTGTATTAAAATTTGTTGAGAGCCTCTTTCCTGGGCTGTTTAAAGTAATGGAAGTGTGGAAGTGAATTTTTATTTGAACAGAATCCAGTCTGATAGTCAGTCTTCTCTGCTGATAATTAAAGGATATCTTGTTTTGGTTGGGTTTTTTTTTTCCTCTTAAAGCTTTCATGGTCCACATGGTCCTTCCCTAATTTATTAATTTGCTTGTAAATACTACTCCTTTTACCACTGATTGTGTTTTAATTTAATTATTTTTTTTTTTTTCAAATGGTGGTGAGAAAAAAGGCTACAGCAAAATCTCTTTACTCAACATAAACAGAGAAGAAGTGAAAACAGGCAATGTTATTTTGTAGCTTTTCATGTGTGATTTAGGTGTCACTAGGAAGATGTAGCGGAGGTAGTAAAGGTGATAGAAAAGACCAGAACTGAGAAAACATGATGGACATGTTACATTTTAGAGGTTAGTGGGCAAGGAGGGGAAAGAAATCTTAGGGAGAATCTTGGGAAGAAATATGAACAATTTGCAGTAGTATCTAGACAGAACTTGATCTTAAAGGTCTCTTTCAACCTAAATGATTCTATGAAAAAATGGGAATGGAATTGTGGGAAAACTTGGAAGAGACTTTGAGTGGTGTGTGGTCCAGTCTCCCACTCAGAGCAAGCTCAGCTCTGCAGTCACATCAGGTTGCTCAAGGCCTTGTCCAGCTCCGCCTTTGAAGTCTCCAAGGGCAGAGATTGCACTAGCCTGCCTGGGCCCAGTCCCACTGCCTGGCTGGCTTCATGAGGAAAATGTTTCTCTATGTATCCAGGCAGAGCCTTTTGTTTCAACTTGAGGGTGGTGTTTCATGTCCTCCCACCGTGCACTGCTGAACAGTCTGGCTCCCTTGCCTCAGTAACCCCAACTGTCATATACAGTCACTGGGGGCTGCTGTTGGGTCTCCCCAGGACTGCCTTTGATTCAGGCTGATCCGGCTCCCATCCCTCAGCCTCTCCCTCCAGGGCAGGTGCTACAGCCCTGATCATCTAGGTGGGCCTTTGCTGAACTCATGCCAGTTAAAGGGCCACAAACTGGTCATAGGATCTAGATGTGGTATAACAGGTGCTGAGTAGAGGGAGATAATCCCATCCCTCCATCCACTTAGTACTCTCCTGGATGCTTTTGGCTTTACTACTTGTGTTTGCTGTGCTTGGAGTGGAGCTTCAGGAACCTGGGGAAAAGGGTAAGGTTCTCTAGTGTTACTGCAGCCAAGACATGATAGCTGTGTTTTGTATAGCACATAGCAGTCGCTAGCAAAGTAAAAATTTGATTTATTTATTTTTAATAATAAATATTGCTGTGAATGAAATTATGATCTTTCCTGTAAGGTAATGTTCTTTGCATATATAAAGAATATGCTCTAATGGTCAAATCTGTACGTATTTTGTTTTTACTGTGATTTTCCTTAGGAAAACAATACAACTGGAAAGGTAAATGTAGACCATTGCTACCTAGATACTGTATTTTTTGATTGCACTATAAATCTGGGCAGTAAAGTGAATGTCTGTTTAGACAGTATTTGGGTTTTGTTAATCGAAAACTGACAATGATTATAATCCCCAATTCAGACTTAAAATGAAAATGTAAACATCCTTAAATTTGGCACAGCTCTGCTTATTTTTACATTCATGTTCTTTATTTGGGTTTGGTTTTTTTCGCAGATGGAGCTGTGTATCGTGCTTGCTATAAATCTACATACTCAGTTCTCCCTGAAGACTACAATTGGTAATTTTGTACCACGCTAAATGTGCTTTCATGTGTGGCCTTTTCGTGTGACATTTATTCCAGGGATATTTTCTCTGTTGTGAAGTTGTCATATAATGGTATCAAATACACCTTCTGCCAGGTTTGGATATCTGTGATAATTTCAACAAAAGTACTGTTTCGATCATAACGATTGTGAAGTTAGTATTTCAAAAAGTAAGCATAATGAAAAATCATGCAGGACTCATTCTAAACATGGTGCTGACCCCAGTACCTCTGTAGTTTTGTTTATGAAAATAGCTAAAAGCAGTCGTTTTCATTGATGCTTGTTGTTAAGACAAAGTCCAGGTATTTTTGTGCTGTTGCATGAGAAACTTGTGTAGAAACCAGGAAAGACAATACAAGTATAGTGAGAAACACACCAGCATCCAAGTCCTACAAGGTTTTAGGAAGCTAATGTGTCATGGGAACAGGAAGGAAGGTGAAAAAGTTGTATTTCCTCAAGGAACATCTCAGTAGTTTTTGTTCAGCATGCTCATCATCTTCTACCAAATGTAAAAATTGGAACCCCAAACAGAGCTTTGTTTCCTATTCTTTCTTCTGTAGGTGCCATACTTCTTATAAGGGCATGTTGTCCTAGAGGTCATTATCCCCATTTGTTTCTAGTTTTATATGCTATTATCCAAAGTGTTAAGGATTTTTTTTCCAACCCAGCTACTTTCTTTTAGCCCTTTCTTCCTCTCCATCCAAAAATGAAACGTGAAGATGATGGGGGGGCAAAAGGGGAGGAGGAAGAAGAGAAGAGGAGAGGAGGTTCAGATCAAGTATTTGTGACAGTTATTTTATAAGGGTTTATTTTATAGAAGATTCTTAAGAATTCATAAATGCAGGGGCTAATCTAGTTATCTTTGGGACTTGGGCTGTTTGGTTGCTCAGCATTTCTGAAAATTGTAAAGGGTATATTTAAGTTTTTATTTTTATAGCAAAGTGGAACTTGCTGTGACATCTGATTTGAAGACTATTGTCTGCTACCACCCTTCACTTGAGATTCCATACGAGCATACAAAAGTATGTCCAAATGTACACATTTATATTTTGTACTTTTGGAAAGGCATAAGGAGTTTATAATTTTGAGTCTTGAGGGTATCTTTTTTTCATGTGAAATACTGTATTACTTTTTAGCATGTGATCAGCATGTCTGTGAAGTTAGTGAACAATGAATGTAGCTGCTGCCATGAGGAGGACCTTGTTCTTAAATGAATTGAGGGAAAGTGGCAGAGAAAGGAAAGCACAGCTTGTAGTAACTCAAATAGAATTAAATGAGGCACTCAGATACTTGTGCGCTGCAGAGGAAACTAGTATCTGTCTACGAGCCTACTCGAGAATGCTTGGAGTGCAGGTTATAGTTCACACATCCTGCTGTGTACAGATGCTGCAATCTGGGCACAAGAATGTAACAAAGTGCTGCTGTTTTCAACTCGAGCTTTGAATTCTCTTCAGTACTCTGGGCTTACAAACACTACAGAAAACCTTTCTAAATAGCAAATTTTTATCTACCAGCAGTACTTTTAGTGTGTTCTTTATACTGATGATAGCAAGTTTAGAAAAGCTTTTCTAGTGTGTACTTTTTGTTTCAGTTTCCAGTTCTCATGCTAGTAAAACACTGCAAATGGTAGCCATGTTGCTGGAGAACCCAATGTGAAAACTCTCCACTGAAAACTGAAAACATTTTAGCACTCTCTGCCTGCAAGTCACAGACCAGTATTTTTAAATATATCAGTTGCTTATGTCTCGGGAAAACACATCTAAAAGACTAAAACAAGGGAAAATACTTGTAATGGTGCTAGTAGTTAGGTTTCAGGTTTGAGAACAAACATCTTGGTCTTAGCAGATGCACAAACAATTGGGAAGTGACATTTTTCTCCAAGGTACATGTCGTGTAAAAGCTTTTCTAGTGGTGATCTTCATCACTATGAATAAATTTCTAAATAGAAATAGTATGAACACTATTGTATTAGTAGAAGTGAAACTTTTGATTCCACAGGTGAATTTTAAGGTTGAGATTAGCAGTAATGATGACAGCAGTGCTGATTTTAGGGGTAGTGTAATCAGCTGTAGCACCCGGGGTTAATTAGAGTTTTCTGGACATCTCCTCCACATGGGTGTTTTGGAGGGGTGGGGGTGGCAAAACAGCCTTTAGAGTTAGAGGCATTTTTCTACATTCGTTTGGTTTCAGCTGTCAAGAGTAATGCTATCTGTGTAACCTGGCTTTTGATTTTTCTGAGAAAAGGGAAATATATATACTACTGGTTTTTACAGCCCATACCTCGGCCAGATCCAGTGAATAATAAAGAAGAAAACCTTGATCAAGTTTTGAAATCCAGATTAAATGAAAAAGAGCTAAAGAACGATAAAGGTCCTACAATTGAAGAGCTCAGCAAAATGTTCTACACAACAAAACATCGCTGGTATCCTGTGGGACAGTAAGTATTTTCTTTTCAATGTTTCTTCCTTTTGGAGGCAAAGGGAAATACAGGAATAACTTAATGACCAGATTCAACCTAAGGTAAGTCATGTGAGACAGGATACTGCTAGCACACAGGCTACAGCACGAAATCTTAAATGCAGCATTGTATAAATGGAAAACTGTATTTCATAAGGGTTTTTTAACACTGCCCCTTTGGTAGCCTTTGCCACTATGAAAGATGTCACAGAGGAGAAATTTCTCATACCATCTAGTTAGCTACTAGTTCAGGTGATTATCAAAGTTGCATAAAAGAATCTAGTAGGTAAAATACCTTCAATGGACATGACCAAACACAGCTTGGAAACATTCATTGTCTACTTCTTAATGACTCTTCAGAAAAAGAAATCAATGGGACAGTTCTCAGACTTAAGAATAGTAGAGGTTTCTCCTTTGAATGGTGTAGGTTACACCTCCATGTGCCTTGTATTCAGAAAGCTAGAAGGAAGAGAGCTGCAAAGGTGCATGACAGCTTAAAGAGGAACTATATCCACTCAGGTAGACCCATGAAAACACACAGCATTCTAGTTTGTGTTACTACTTCCCAGTCTGCTACTATGCCTTTTGGTAGTAGCTAATTGAATAGCTGTGGAGGCTGGATACAGGCAGAATTTTTTTTTTTTATTTTTATTTTTTTTTTTTTGTCCACAGAAAACTTTTAATTATTGTGTGTTGGGAGTAGGTAAAATGAATGAAATGGTAGAATTTCCTGTGGCCAAAGGGTATCCATCACTTTAATGAGCATCAAACAGGATCTTCCTTGGTTTAGGGTGGGTAATTAAGAGGAAAAAGTAGGGATCATGTTTTGTTGTCAGAATTTGTTTTTTAGTTTGTCTGCATAATAGCACACTGTTTCATATACAGTCTGGCACCATTCCTTTAAACATAAAGTCTCTTTGTTCTGTAGCAATCATTTTAGTCAAAGGAAAAGCTGACTGTGTAATAAAATTAACTTCAGACAAAGGATTAAGAGTAAACAGCAGCCTTTGTACCTACTCAGCTGTAGAACTGACTGAATTATTGTGTGCTTGTAGCAGACATAGCAATGGAAATGATCAGCATTATGTAACTCCTCAGAGATGACATCTAATGGGTGGTGATGGACTATGCTTGTGTATCTTGTGTTTTACCTGTCTAACCTGAGATCACTCGCTGGGGGTGAAGACATGAGGGAAATCCAAGACTGTCCAAAGCTTGCATTCACTGCAGCCTTTTTTTCTTCTAGGTATCATAGAAGACGCAGGAATCCTAATCCTCCCAAAGACCGATAACTGGGACAACTTCTTGTTCATCAACACATTACTAGTAATCTTTACTGGAAATAAAAATTACAGGAAGTGAGATGTTTGGTAATTCTGTGCAAGTGCTGTAACAAAAACATGCTTAGCTAAATTTTACTCTTATTCTTCAAGTTCACAGAAAAACAACAAAATGGCATAATGAAGCAAGGGTTCAGTGAAGACTGTTGTACAAGCACAGTCAGCTAATGAGCTAATTCCAGAGCTGGATGCAACAGATGATGGAGTGCTCTGATTAAACGTGGCCAGAGGTTTATTGTTGGTAAAGTGAATGCATAAACTTCTTGTGTCAAAATGCTAAGTCCAGAACTGGACACATTAGGGTTTGGTGTTATTTTGGGGAGATAATTGTGTTTTTAGAAATCTAGCAACTGCAATGCAGGTGAGCTTGAACACTGAGGTCTTGATAAAAAAATGAGTATTGATAAAATGAGGTATTTATTAAAAGAGTTAAATAATTTTGCTTTTTCTGTTACATCTGTAAGATACCTGATTCCATATTTAATCCTCCATCAGTCAAGAGGTTATATTTAAGACTATTGTCATGTACTGAAAACTGGCCAACTTGGTTATGGTTTAGCATCCAAGGCATAACAACTCACCTTTCTAAATTGCCCAGCAATCCCAAATAGCTTAGAGAACTTCTGTGTGCATTCATTGTTTGGGGCAGGGAGTTGTTGGGTTTGTTTTTTTTTAGACCCTACCCCATCTACCATTCAGTGAGGATGCTGCGTTCCTGTGTAAATCGGAATAGCTGTAGCTCAGCGAAGGAAGAGTTCTTTGCCTCAGCAAGGTAATCAGTGGAGACTCCCAGCTCTTTCTACCTGACCTAGGGGAAGGATTTGCTTTTTATGATATAAAATGCATTAAAGAAATTTTGGTTTGATTTTACTTCATAGCTTTAGCAGTTTGTGGTGCTTAAACATTTCTGCTATTATAATATTGTCATCTAGCTTTTTTTTTTTCTTCTTAGCTCAGGAAAAGGAGATTCTTTACCCTGGTCTACAGTTATAGACATCAGCCTTCTGATAGAAAGGGTCAGCTTGGAACATTGTTCCTCAACAGAGACTCCAGTGACTTCATTAAGTCTTCATAGCAGATCCTTATAAATAACCAGAAAATAATTATCCTATATATGTCATACATTCTGATTGTATTTCCTTTCCAAAGCAACTTTGATAGCTTGGAAGGTTCTTGTTTCTTTTCTTAGTCTAGTGTCATTTTGCCAGCATATGTTGTCTACAGGTTTTGCTACAAGTTGAGTACCATATAAAGTCTCTAATCCTGGTTATTGTTACTACAAAGAACACTTACTTTCTAAAGTTATCACTGAATAACGTTTTTCCCCCTGAATTTCCTGTAACTGGGGGAAGGGGGAGGAGAGAAGGTGGCAATGTTGGATGTGTGTAAAAAGCCTTCCTTTAAATGCTTCTGGAAAATTTTACATGAAGCTAGTCTAAGTTGTTATGTTGGTATTATTTTTAAAAATGCATTTTTAAATCCAAATGACAGTTTAGCTGATAGTGGTTTATGATGGCAAAGCATGAAATAGTTTTGCTTATTCTCTGTTATGTTTGTAAGATATCCGAGTCCATGTTTAAGCCTCCATCAGCCAAGCGATTTTTGGCTCTGTGTTATACGATGTGTTGCTCACGTGATAACAAACATGTTATCGTGAAGGAATGTCTGTTGTGTGTATGAAAAGGATCACTGCTTACTCTGCAAGTTCAGTCATGTCAAAATACTTTTTTTTCTGCTTAGAATATAACTTTTAAAATAGTTTTTAGTAATTCGTAGTACAACAAATTTTAGTATTTTGATCAATTTGTGGTACCTTGTACTGACACTGGTCCATATGTGAGCAGATTCCATCTCATTTTATTCATGTCCCACTGTATAAAATCAAGCCCCCTTTATTTTTTGAAAGCTGAGATCTAATTTGGTACCACTTGACTTTACTCCAGCATAAGAAAAAGATATCCTCGGACTAATTTAAACTTTGAATTGTTTTTCCCCCTTCTTTCTGGTACTTTTGCTTAGTGCTGCCTAATACTATTAAGACATTTTGCTTTACAGAAACCTCCTGTTATCACATTTGTCTGTTCTTGCCTGTCAGACCCTGTTTATGACCAAACATCCACAATCACTGTAGAAATGTTGGATTTCTCAATGTTTCCCAAACATTTCTGGATGCTTTTCAGGCATTTTGAGGGCTAGAAATGATGTGCTGGGCTGCTATTTTAAAGTACTTCCTCTTCTGACCAGTTACTGCAGGCCGAGTCTAAGACATGTTTGCTACATGTACCCTCTGCCACTTTGTTACTATATTAATTCATAAAATTGATACTTCAAAGCCTTTCCCTTTCTTATGCTGCCACTCCAAATCTATGTTCTTTTCCACTAAGCTTTCTCCTGGGTCATCTGAAGCATGACCTAATCAAAATCCAGCTCTCACAGTACTTCCAAGCTGTCCTCCTGTTTTTCTAGATACTGTACAACTACGTAAAACCGTCTATCTGCTTCCCTTCACTTAAAAACTTAGAATTGGAAAATCATCTGTTTAATTTTTGTCCCACTTCTATGTGAAAGGATAATCCATTTTGGGCTTTCTGTTGCACTCCTTAGTTAATTGAAAACGTTAGTTGTGTAGAAGATACAATACTGTTTTGGTGTCTTTGTATCCAATTTTAGGCACTTAGCCATTTACTTTGTATCTAGTACTTAGTAAGTGTTTCAGACCTTACTAGGCTCGCTGCTGTTGATAGTACACAGTTGGGTATGTCTTGCTGATTTTGGTTTGTTTTTTTTTTTTAAATAATATCCTCTATTCAGACCATTAAAATCGCAGTTTAGTCCTAATGAAAAGAAAGTTCTTTCAGTTCCTTTAGTTATACCTGAATTTTAAAAAAGGAAGCATGCTTTTCAAGCAGGTTTTTGCCTTTTTTTCCCCTATGTGCAAATTGTTGTTCTGCAGATGCTTGGGACTACCACCAGGAGGCAGTCTTGCACAGTTACGCAACTGGATTTTTCTGAAACCATAGGGGACTTAGGTACGTCATCAAATTTAACGCTGTGAGAGACATACATTAGCCATTCTTTAAATTTTTAAGTATTTAGGAAAAAGGAACTCCCTAGCAAGTGTGAAAGTGGTTGGATTCAAAGGGTCAAGGGTTCTTTTGTGGGACTTGCCTGTTTGCTTTGACTGATTTGGTGTCTGTAACATGTGGCAGAGATACATGTTCAAACAAAAAAAGGCCCACCCTGCCAGTTTTGAAAACAGTGACCCAACAGTGGGGCAGTAACAGGACCGAACTGCCAAATACACCCGTGTGACAAGTTGCATGTCCTTATGCTTCAGCTCCTTGTGATGATTAATGGAGGGTGCAGTGGTCCATCCACCCTTCCCTTCCCACCCCACCAGTTACTCAGTCCTACAGGAAAGGTCACTTCTTGTCCCTTTACTGTTGTAGCAGGTCTGAATTTCAGCTGCCATGTCTAAATTCTGCTGTATCAGAACAAATCACTGCTGCGGCTCTGTTACAGGTCACAGTAATGACTGATGTTTAAAGCCAACACTGCATTTCTCAGCTATTGCAGTCTTTGATTTTTAGCAGCTGCTCTGCTCTAATTTGACATGCTCATTCCATCCTCAAAAGCAGTATGAAGTTACGTAATGAAGAGATCAAACAGAGGTAGACTGCATTCCTCTTCTGTAGTAGAGGTTTGTTTTAATGCTGTAGTATAATTAAACTGGCTTAAAGCAAGCTCACCAATCATTAGAATAAACGTCAGACAAATTGTGTGCCTACAATAGAAAAAAGTTGGATTCATCTGTAAGATTGAGACAGCTACTAATTAGACCTCTGATCCTCAGTTAGTCTTTGTAGGCTCCCTTTATAGCCATTTGACAGGGAAAATAAAATACCTACCCAAGGCAGTTGATCTTTACGATTTTATTATCTAGAATGTCACACAAATTCTTCTCTGGAGGTGCTTTCTCTGTCTCATCTATGAACAGGGAATGAAACTTAGTTGAGCTTGAGATGCCTGTATCATAACAATGAAAGCAGTCTGACTTTTTTATCATATATGTAAAAGAAAAATACTGAGCTTAAGATAAAGGTAACAATGCTGTTTCTGCTAGACTTCAGTAGCATGTAGTCCATATATAGGGACTCTGTTTTCTCTGCATAAAGTATATTTTTTTTACTGCATAGAGCCGTTCACACACATTTAATTTGTAACTTTGAATTAATTGTATATAGGATTTTAATCTCGCCTCCTTATATTTAATCAACCCTCCAATGCTGAAAGATAATACTTAAGATGTTACTTCTTTCATTCACTGTATAGTTGGAGGAGAAGCAAGATAGTTATTTTACGTGTTTGATAGCACCTCTTCTAACGAGCTCATGATCACAACTGTTACCTCTAGGTACTTCTAGAAAAGTGAACACAATAAATGAGAATGTACTGGGCAACGTGCACAGAATTATCTGAAAATTTAAATACTATTTACACAGCCTATTAGTTCCACTGTATATAAATACAGCTGTTAGGATACTGCACATCAGAAGGCAGGAGCTATGTGGAAGCTGCATGAATCGAACAGCATGTTTGGTCAATAATTTTGCATTGCATATTTGGTCAATAATTTTGCATTGCATGGCTTCTAGAGAAGTAGAAGTTTATAGCCCTGAGTACTATTAAGTGTCTTAATGTAGGTGAGAAATGACAGTCAAGGAATCATAGAGTTTTTCATTCCCTTGAGGCACCACAGGAGGTTTGAATGACCAATGGAACTGAGAAACTGCCAGCTAGTCCTGAAAAGTCAAATAAACAATGAACACGAAAAACAGTTGTGCTTATATCCAGCTTTACTGCTTGTCAAGATGAAAAACAGTCTTGGGCCAGAGGCAGTTTACCACTTTAAATATGGCCAGTTTTGACTGCTACCAAAGTTTACAATTCCTCAGCAAAAGAATCTCTCTACCAGCAAAATATGAGATATCAGAGGAAAAAAAAAAAATCTGGAGGAGCTGTTTTTCTAGC